ATCCTCTTTGCTACACTCAACCCTTTTTTACTTGCTTCCACCACCAAATCCATCACCCCTACAACTCCGTCGCACTTTCACCATTGAGATCTCTGTAACGCCCCAAATTTCTAACCCAAATGATAATACAACAATCATGGCTCTTTCAAGGAAAACCGAATATAAATCTCCAAACTTACATTACATGATACAATAGTTTTTCATGCAACAATACATTAATCCAACAACAAGTAAATAAACAAATAAATACCCCCAAGGGTTTACAAGTTTCCAAGGCTTGAGCCTAGTTACACAAAATGGTTATCCAAACTCACACACATACAGCCCTTGGCTTACACACAGAGTCACAGCAGAATGAGAGTCTTGTACGCTCAACACGCATTTCCTCACCTTTAGTTATGCGGCATCACTACATCTTTTCCTGCACAAAAATCCCGTAGGGTGAGCATAAAGCCCAGTAGGAAATCCTTAACAAAGTATATACATTTTATACAAGTCTCAAGAAATGAAATGCATATGCCATGCTATGCCTTTTTTCTGAAAGAAAATCACATCTTCATCTTTTGAAAACCTTTATGCTCAATGATGTCATGCCATTTCAATTATTCAAAACTTAACAATTCATTTCAAGGGCGATAAATACGACTCTGGTAATCCCTAGGCTGGTGTCTGCAAATAGACTATACGAGTACTACCAAATTGTCATTTTTACCGGTATTAACTGGAAGGCTCGACACCTACCCGTGCGGGTTTTCGGTCTTTCACCCCGGACCCTCAGGCAAACTTATTCAATATCATCTACACCACCTATCAAGACTTACCAACATATTTACCCCAAAACCATTTCATGAAAACTTATTTCTCAACATTCTTTTCTCAATGCAAGGTTTCAAATCAACTTTCAAAGTTTAATGTAATAAAATGAAATGATATGCCAATTTCACAAGATGAACATAAATACTTTTATTCCAATTCATCATCCAAGGAATAACACAATTTCCTCTTCTCAAGTATTTTCAACAATTTAGTCATTTCAAGACTATATCAACATTTTGAACAACCATTTCCAAAATGAACAACAATTCTCATAATTCACAAAATTAATCATTTATACAAATATAAATAAGAAATTGTCGAAACATCATTTATTTTGGCACACAAAATAAATATAACAATATTATCCATGGATTTTCAATCTTTTTTAAAATCCCCAATTTCTAGGTTTTCTCACCAAAACTACACAGCTCAAATCTTTTGAAAGAAAACTTTTAAAAATCATCTTTTCGAAAATCAACGAAGATCAAAACCCATAAGATCATTTTAAAAGATCAAGAGACAAACCCACTTTCAAAATCGCTCAACTTCTTGAATCAACAATCAATTTTCCAAAACAAATCAAAGGATGATTTCGAAAATCATCTAGATCTTGCAAAAATATATATATAACTCAAAGAAAATCCCTACCTGAAGTATTGAAGAAGAATAGAGATGAAACCCCAAAATTTACAGTGTCGAAACTCGATCTCCACCGCACAGCATGAAGCCCTCGAGGTGATGACCAACTTTGGTGAAGAACTTAGGCTTAAATCCCAATAGATTTGGAGAAATCAAAGAGAGACAATGACTTCTAGGGAGAGGAGCTGCAGATTTAGGGTTTTTGAGTGAAAAGGAAATCAAAAGTGAAGCAAAACGGCGCTACTGGTAACTAATATATGCCAGGCTCGCTCGAGCGAAGGAGTTCTCGCTCGAGCGTAAAATACCTAGCTTCAGAAGTTTTTCAGACGCACTACTCGCTTGAGCGCAAGAAGCTTCGCTCGAGCATACAAGTAACTTTGAATGCATTTTGCATTTTTGCTTCAGGGGTGCTGCCCCTCAACCCTGCCAGAGCCCTGTCCTTGGACCCGCCAAGGGGCGTTGCCCCCTGAATCCCCGCGAGCTGACCGGGCAGCTTGATCCTCGACTTGTCCAGTCAAAGTGGCAAAAACATGAAAGAAGGGTTGAAACCGGGATCACTACAATCTCTTTCATCATTACTAGATTGACTTCTTTCGATTGAAAATCTAGATCTAGTTTCTCTCTCTCTCTCTGTCTCTCTCTCTCTCTCTCTCTCTCTTGTGGAAATGGAAGGAGACTATGGTGGTGTAATGCCCTCAATTCTTAAGATCCGATTTATCAAATCAAAACTACATTCGTCATTCATTCCCATTAATTAATACAATTATACATGCAGAAAACAAAATCTCGACATGAGCCAACATTCATAATAGATATCATTCTCTTTCATTTCATTATATATATCCCATTTGAAATGTTTTGAGATTCACAAGAGGTGGTTACATGCACTAATATATTCATAACCCAACAAGCATGAATCTATAGCATGTAATAGGAGAAACATTTAAGTAAACGATATACAAAAATACATGCCTTAAAGGTTTACATGTTTTCAAGGGACTTGAGCTATTACAAATTAAATAAGGGTTTCAACCCAATACAAGTTAAGCCCTAGGCTTCACAAAATACATAGCTCCCAAAAGCCTCATTGGCCTTGACCTCGGCAGAGGCATACGGCCAACACCTAAAAATGGTTTTCTACATAGGGATGAACATATAGTCCAACAGAGATAATCTTAACAAAGAACAAGAGTTTTAACATTCTCATGGTCATGAGATGCAATAATGTGCCATGCTCAAAATAAATGTTTTGTTTGCAAGAGATCATGCCATGCATTTTCCAAAATCGTAAACGATTCAACAACTTTTGTTTCATCAACATTGGGCGGTAAATATAACACTGGAAATCCCTAGGTACGTGTCTACTAGTAGTCTCTTAAAGCACTACCAAATACTCCATTTTACCAATTATTAACCGAAAGGAAATTGAAACCTACTCTGCGTGAGTTTAAGGACTTTCACTATGGACCTCAAGCCAAATTAATTCTCAAATAATATCTACACAACGTAACTAGATTTACCAAGGTATTTACCCCATTTCTTAATATTTTTCAAAAGTTCTTAACAAGCAATCACAATGCATTTCTCAAATGCAGTAAGAAGTGAAAACATGAAATCATTAGTATGTCAATACTATGCATGCTTTTCCAAATGTTTTAATTTTTCTATTTTTCATGTCAATTCTACAATAAGTTAATGCAATCCTCCACCGATTGCCAAAACAATTATTTCTATCAAAATTCCAACAAGGCAATATTTAGAGCATAATTCACAATTTTCAATACTTTCAAAATAAAACATGGTTTCCAATAATCTCATCATTTCTCAATACCTTCCAAACATTCATAATTTTTTGAGAATTTCATAACTTTTGCATATTTTCTAGATATATCAACATCTCGAAGAATTTTCATAATTTCTCAATTCACAATCCGCATTCAAACTTTCCACATTTTCTACGTTTTTAGAAAAAATGGGATTTTCTAAATTTAAAAACAAAATCTTTAAATTCATACACTATAGTTTATGTTTTGAAGAACAATTTGAGAAATGTTACAAAAATTCGAGTAAACCCCCAATTTGGGCAATAATAATAATGACAAAATCCTAATTCCTCAAACAATCATAACTATCAGAGTACCACATAATCTTGCTAAAATATTTACATAAAGTTAAGAAAATCCTTACCTCAAAAATGAAGAGGGAGAAGTATGAATTTTGAAATTTCACGGTTGTCGGATTAAAGATTGCTCTAGCTCAAAACAACACGTTCGATGCTCTCTACACTTTTTCCCAAAGAACCAAGATGAGATTTTGACTCTAAGTATGGTAGATCAAGAGTTTGGTATAGTTTGGCGGTGGTTTGTAGAGAGAGAGAAGAGAAAAGAGTTTTAGAGAGAGAGAGTTGAAAGAAATGAGGGAAATAGGAAAGAAAATATTAGATTTTGAGGGTAAGAGGTTCAAAAATCAAGGTCTATAGCCCATGTTCGCTCGTACAGAGCTTCTGGCCGTAAATGCGGATTTGTCCAGGAAAAAATGCTCTCTTGCATAATCTGCTTGTGCAGAACATATATTTCGCACGTGCGGATTGACCTAGACAACTTTTACATAGTAAACTTCAAACAAGCGTATCTCCCTCTTTTGGAGTTAGAATTTGGTCGATTTTGTATCTAAATTGAAGTTCCAAAAGTAAGCTTTCCAATGGTTCCGAACTCATATCAAGATTCAAAGTGCGGAGATAGAAAAGCGTAAAAGAGTGAACACTACTAAAAAATAAATATTTGAATTTGGGGTTTTTGATCCAATCTTATCCAACCACCATGTTAACTTATAAATCAAGACTCCAAACATCAAGAAAGAGGTCCCAATTATAATAACAAAAAGGTCAAAGGCAAACCCATCAATTCCAAAAGTTTGAAAATAATACAAATATAAGGTAACGGGTACCAATTAACATAAACAAGTCGAATTTAAGATCCGAGACACTATAGGTGGGCAAAGGAGTTAAGGGTAGGGAGGTGTGGAGGGTGGTGATAGAGATGTTGGGGGTAGGTGGAAGGGTGATTAACAACTAAAGAGGGGTAAGGAAGCGTTGGCCAATAGTTATAGATAGTGGAAGAGAGAAGAAAAAGAGAAGGAAAAAAAAAAATATTCTAGTAATTACAACCACAGATTCCATGCTTTTGCAATTATGATTCTCTATTAATTTGTAAATAATTGACCAAAATCACTTTAGTTGTTTTGGTAAGTTAGTTAAAAATTGACTTTTTGATTTTTTAACTTTTTTTAAAAAATAACATGTTAAAAAGTAGAGAGGTGATATGATCTAAAAAAGCCAAAAAATAAAAAAATTGACCTTTAACTAACTTGCCAAAATAGACCAATTGTCCATAGAATTTGATTGTCTTTACGAAGATTGAGTGACCATACCATCATAGAGTGTAATGCCCCAAAATAAATAATAATAACCCGTCTCATAACATTACTTACAAATGATCAACAACATCACATCTTCCATTCCATTCATAACTTTGATCATACAAAAGATGACATATGCTGGTGGGTACTTTGTTTCAATGCTTGCCACTGATATGAGATTTAGTAGCATTACGATAATGATCGCAGAAGGGTTATTTCATCAAATGGATATCACAAAGGACTACCCACCTACACTATTTGTGCACATGCCCAAAGATGAAGCTAGCAAGCAGCAGATAGATGCAAATCTTAGGTTTTTGAAGGAAGAAGGCATTGATGTTGCAGAGGTTAAATGCATGGAGTTCCCGTTGTCACCAAATTTCTTAGCTGACAGGATCCCAGGTCTTGATAAGACTATTTCAATGAAATTATTTGATCTATTCCGGGACAAGGGCTTTATTGACAAGAATGGTTATATGAGAGCTGATGGGCAAGCAATATGTTTGAAAGCTGCTCTCAGGGAGAGTAAAATTATTCCGCCAGATGTGCACTTTGTTGGAAAAATGGTTTAATATAGACATATTTTTGAGCCCAAATTAGAGTGGATCCGAAGAGGTAAAGACAGAACGTCAAAACCATTTATGAGTGAATGGGAAGTTGACGTCGTTTTTTCGAGTCTAACAGTAATTTTTTAGATAAAATTCATTTAGTAGGAAATCCTTAACAAAGTATATACATTTTATACAAGTCTCAAGAAATGAAATGCATATGCCATGCTATGCCTTTTTTCTGAAAGAAAATCACATCTTCATCTTTTGAAAACCTTCATGCTCAATGATGTCATGCCATTTCAATTATTCAAAACTTAACAATTCATTTCAAGGGCGATAAATACGACTCTGGTAATCCCTAGGCTGGTGTCTGCAAGTAGACTATACGAGTACTACCAAATTGTCCTTTTTACCGGTATTAACCGGAAGGCTCGACACCTATTCACGCGGATATTTCGGTCTTTCACCTCGGTCCCGCAGGCCAACTTATTCAATATCATCTACACCACCTATCAAGACTTACGAACATATTTACCCCAAAACCATTTCATGAAAACTTATTTCTCAACATTCTTTTCTCAATGCAAGTTTTCAAATCAACCTTCAAAGTCTAATGTAATGAAATGAAATGATAAGCCAATTTCACAAGATAAATTTTATTCTAATTTATCATCCAAGGAATAAACACAATTTCCTCTTCTCAAGTATTTTCAACAATTTAGTCATTTCAAGACTATATCAACATTCTGAATAATCGAATAACACAATTTCCTCTTCTCAAGTATTTTCAACAATTTAGTCATTTCAAGACTATATCAACATTTTGAACAACCATTTCCAAAATGAACAACAATTCTCATAATTCACAAAATTAATCATTTATACAAATATAAATAAGAAATTGTCGAAACATCATTTATTTTGGCACACAAAATAAATATAACAATATTATCCATGGATTTTCAATCTTTTTTAAAATCCCCAATTTCTAGGTTTTCTCACCAAAACTACACAGCTCAAATCTTTTGAAAGAAAACTTTTAAAAATCATCTTTTCGAAAATCAACGAAGATCAAAACCCATAAGATCATTTTAAAAGATCAAGAGACAAACCCACTTTCAAAATCGCTCAACTTCTTGAATCAACAATCAATTTTCCAAAACAAATCAAAGGATGATTTCGAAAATCATCTAGATCTTGCAAAAATATATATATAACTCAAAGAAAATCCCTACCTGAAGTATTGAAGAAGAATAGAGATGAAACCCCAAAATTTATAGTGTCGAAACTCGATCTCCACCGCACAGCACGAAGCCCTCGAGGTGATGACCAACTTTGGTGAAGAACTTAGGCTTAAATCCCAATAGATTTGGAGAAATCAAAGAAAGACGATGACTTCTAGAGAGAGGAGCTGCAGATTTAGGGTTTTTGAGTGAAAAGGAAATCAAAAGTGAAGCAAAACGGCGCTGCTGGTAACTAATATATGCCAGGCTCGCTCGAGCGAAGGAGTTCTCGCTCGAGCGTAAAATACCTAGCTTCAGAAGTTTTTCAGACGCACTACTCGCTTGAGCGCAAGAAGCTTCGCTCGAGCATACAAGTAACTTTGAATGCATTTTGCATTTTTGCTTCAGGGGTGCTGCCCCTCAACCCTGCCAGAGCCCTGTCCTTGGACCCGCCAAGGGGCGTTGCCCCCTGAATCCCCGCGAGCTGACCGGGCAGCTTGATCCTCGACTTGTCCAGTCAAAGTGGCAAAAACATGAAAGAAGGGTTGAAACCGGGATCACTACAATCTCTTTCATCATTACTAGATTGACTTCTTTCGATTGAAAATCTAGATCTAGTTTCTCTCTCTCTGTCTCTCTCTGTCTCTCTCTCTCTCTCTCTCTCTTTCTCTCTCTCTCTCGTGGAAATGGAAGGAGACTATGGTGGTGTAATGCCCTCAATTCTTAAGATCCGATTTATCAAATCAAAACTACATTCATCATTCATTTCCATTAATTAATACAATTATACATGCAGAAAACAAAATCTCGACATGAGCCAACATTCATAACAGATATCATTCTCTTTCATTTCATTATATATATCCCATTTCAAATGTTTTGAGATTCACAAGAGGTGGCTACATGCACTAATATATTCATAACCCAACAAGCATGAATCTATAGCATGTAATAGGAGAAACATTTAAGTAAACGATATACAAAAATACATGCCTTAAAGGTTTACATGTTTTCAAGGGACTTGAGCTATTACAAATTAAATAAGGGTTTCAACCCAATACAAGTTAAGCCCTAGGCTTCACAAAATACATAGCTCCCAAAAGCCTCATTGGCCTTGACCTCGGCAGAGGCATACGGCCAACACCTAAAAATGGTTTTCTACATAGGGATGAACATATAGTCCAACAGAGATAATCTTAACAAAGAACAAGAGTTTTAACATTCTCATGGTCATGAGATGCAATAATGTGCCATGCTCAAAATAAATGTTTTGTTTGCAAGAGATCATGCCATGCATTTTCCAAAATCGTAAACGATTCAACAACTTTTGTTTCATCAACATTGGGCTGTAAATATAACACTGGAAATCCCTACGTACGTGTCTACTAGTAGTCTCTTAAAGCACTACCAAATACTCCATTTTACCAATTATTAACCGAAAGGAAATTGAAACCTACTCTGCGTGAGTTTGAGGACTTTCACTATGGACCTCAAGCCAAATTAATTCTCAAATCATGTCTACACAACCTAACTAGATTTACCAAGGTATTTACCCCATTTCTTAATATTTTTCAAAAGTTCTTAACAAGCAATCACAATGCATTTCTCAAATGCGATAAGAAGTGAAAACATGAAATCATTAGTATGTCAATACTATGCATGCTTTTCCAAATGTTTTAATTTTTCTATTTTTCTTGTCAATTCTACAATAAGTTAATGCAATCCTCCACCGATTGCCAAAACAATTATTTCTATCAAAATTCCAACAAGGCAATATTTAGAGCATAATTCACAATTTTCAATACTTTCAAAATAAAACATGGTTTCCAATAATCTCATCATTTCTCAATACCTTCCAAACATTCATAATTTTTTGAGAATTTCATAACTTTTGCATATTTTCTAGATATATCAACATCTCGAAGAATTTTCATAATTTCTCAATTCACAATCCGCATTCAAACTTTCCACATTTTCTACGTTTTTAGAAAAAATGGGATTTTCTAAATTTAAAAACAAAATCTTTAAATTCATACACTATAGTTTATGTTTTGAAGAACAATTTGAGAAACGTTACAAAAATTCGAGTAAACCCCCAATTTGGGCAATAATAATAATGACAAAATCCTAATTCCTCAAACAATCATAACTATCAGAGTACCACATAATCTTGCTAAAATATTTACATAAAGTTAAGAAAATCCTTACCTCAAAAATGAAGAGGGAGAAGTATGAATTTTGAAATTTCACGGTTGTCGGATTAAAGATTGCTCTAGCTCAAAACAACACGTTCGATGCTCTCTACACTTTTTCCCAAAGAACCAAGATGAGATTTTGACTCTAAGTATGGTAGATCAAGAGTTTGGTATAGTTTGGCGGTGGTTTGTAGAGAGAGAGAAGAGAAAAGAGTTTTAGAGAGAGAGAGTTGAAAGAAATGAGGGAAATAGGAAAGAAAATATTAGATTTTAAGGGTAAGAGGTTCAAAAATCAAGGTCTATAGCCCATGTTCGCTCATACGGAGCTTCTGGCCGTAAATGCGGATTTATCCAGGAAAAAATGCTCTCTTGCATAATCTGCTTGTGCAGAACATATATTTCGCACGTGTGGATTGACCTAGACAACTTTTACATAATAAACTTCAAACAAGCGTATCTCCCTCTTTTGGAGTTAGAATTTGGTCGATTTTGTATCTAAATTGAAGTTCCAAAAGTAAGCTTTCCAATGGTTCCGAACTCATATCAAGATTCAAAGTGCGGAGATAGAAAAGCGTAAAAGAGTGAACACTACTAAAAAATAAATATTTGAATTTGGGGTTTTTGATCCAATCTTATCCAACAACCATGTTAACTTATAAATCAAGACTCCAAACATCAAGAAAGAGGTCCCAATTATAATAACAAAAAGGTCAAAGGCAAACCCATCAATTCCAAAAGTTTGAAAATAATACAAATATAAGGTAACGGGTACCAATTAACATAAACAAGTCGGATTTAAGATCCGAGACACTATAGGTGGGCAAAGGAGTTGAGGGTAGGGAGGTGTGGAGGGTGGTGATAGAGATGTTGGGGGTAGGTGGAAGGGTGATTAACAACTAAAGAGGGGTAAGGAAGCGTTGGCCAATAGTTATAGATAGTGGAAGAGAGAAGAAAAAGAGAAGGAAAAAAAAAAATATTCTAGTAATTACAACCACAGATTCCATGCTTTTGCAATTATGATTCTCTATTAATTTGTAAATAATTGACCCAAATCACTCTATTCTCTAATTGTCCCTAGAATTTATTTGTCTTTATGAAGATTGAGTGACCATACCATCATAGAGTGTAACGCCTCAAAATAAATAATAATAATAACTCGTCTCATAACATTACTTACAAATGATCAACAACATCACATCTTCCATTCCATTCATAACTTTGATCATACAAAAGATGACATATGCCAATACATTTATAAATCCTAAATTCTGAATCTGTAGCATATGACATAGATACATGATTTAAACTAAAATTAAAACTAAATAATTATATGCCATAATGGCTACATCTTTCCAAGTTGATGCTTGGGTACAACAAAATGAGTTTAACTCAATACAAGTAAAGCCCGTGGCTTATACAAAATTAATTACAAAAAATAAAGAAAAATGAAGCCATTGGCTCCAAGTCCTCCCAAGCTATGTCCTTGGTGGAATCATATCATCAGCACCTTACAATTATTTTCCACATAGGGTGAGCCAAAACCTAGTAGAGATATCCTAACACAATAGATGAATCTTAACAAATGGAGGAGGGAGGTTATATGCCTTAGTAAATTTTGTTCAACCCTCTGATATGAAG